GAGAGATCAAGCACCTTTCGGTCCGTCAGTGGATTCGCTCTGCCATCCCTGATTCACAACAACCAATCTCTCCTATAGGTTTCCTATTTTTGAAACTTCCGCCACCGCCTTGTGCGGTACTACTGGTATTTTAATTTATAAAAAAAATAAACATATAATTTATCTAGGAATCAGATTGGATAAAATATTTTTCCTATTAAAAAATAACTTAATATATATTTTAATTTTTCCTGTACTTACTCCCATTATTTATTTCCCATTATTACCCTACAATTTTTTCGTTATATTTAACATTATTTAACAAAATCATATTTTTTGAGATTTCAAGACCAATTACTTGGTAGTAGAGGTCTTTGTGAAGAGTCTGAACATAAGAGCTGTACCTGCCAAACCAGCAAGTAATGCAGAGCACCAAATCACCCACTTGCTGGGGTCGAGCAGCCTGTGCGGGTTGAAGAAGGTTGCGCCCTGCATTTCCGTCAATAGTAGGGAACAAACCAGTGGTCCTCCAGACTCTTGCTGACTGTTTGAACCATCTTTGCTTTTCACAGCAACCATCCACTACATGCACAGAACAAAACTGTTCGGAGCGGGAAAGACATGGAGCTCACTCTTAAAAGTCAGCCCAAGCCGTTGCACTTTCGAGAGTTGTGAAACTCTTGTGGCACAGCTGCTCCAAAATGTATATGATGTAATTCTCTGTGGAAATCTGTAGCTGAAATTGCAAGACATATGAAAAGGAAATTTGCAGGCAAAACTGAAGCGAAGATTCTCAAACTAAATCGTTGGGCGGAAAACCCTGTTCGTGTGATATGTGAGGCATCCCAAATTTGGGAACGCAACCTATTTGAAATACCTTTAAAATATTTCACACTGGTTCTGGAGCATTTCAGCTAGCTAGTCCGTGCGGCTTAAGCTGTCGGAGGCTCCACAAAGGCACTATGTCCGTTCAATACCTCGACGAAAAAAAAGGAGTCACAAGAACGATTCAGCCCTTCATCCCGATATTTTGAGCTTCACCCCACCTAGCAACGATTTTGCCAATTAGGCAAAGGTCCTGAGTCCCCTGGACCACTGAAAGCCAAAGCTGCCACTAAAAACTTGCAATTTCCAACACGTCCGACAAGTTTCTGGGCACCCAGACATGCCACCCATGCCGCCCATGCCACCCATACCACCCATGCCACCGGCAGGTGTGGGTGCTGGTGTGGTGGGCAGGTCGGTCACAGCATCTGTGGTGAGGACCTTGTGGCTGGGACAAGATGCAACTGGAACAACAAACTTTCAAATGGCAACGACTTCGTGATTGAATATGATTTTTGATGTAATATTTTGCTGAACACGATGTGAACATTATTTTGAACATCATTGGCTAAGTTTGAATGGCAATTCAATTTCTTCTAACTTGGAATATAAAATAATAAGTATGATAATGTACCTTAATATACCTGCATGAAAAGAAGTCAGGTATCGCTGGGTGCTGGGTCTGTTACCATGCCCGCAATGGAGGCGGCATTGACCACGGAATTTATGACCACCTCACGGGGCATCCGCCCTGGAAAATATAACGCGAACAAAAAAAAAATCTAAAAAGACAACCAAGCACAGATGCCTTTTTGAATTCAGGAGAATTATTCAGCCAGAAACATCAACCAACGTAACCAACTCAATACCAGGGTGGTGCGGTATCGCTTCCCTTCACCTTGGCCGGGTCGACGACACCGGCTTTCAGCAAATCTTCATAGACCTCACAGCAGCCAAGTCTACTTAGCTGGCAACTTCTGCACGACCATCCTGCAAGTAAATCTGCAAAACTGGTTTGTCCCTGTGGTTGCAAGCCAATACCCTCCAGTAGTTTTAACGTAGCTATGAAAAACGGTCCATTTAAAGATGACTCAGCTACCAAAAAAATGATTTGCCATAGCAATGCTAAATTACCAGGGGTTAATATTAATAAATACGATAAGCAAGGATGCGGGACTCTTTCCCCGGACCAGGGACCAGCCAGGAACCATCAAGGAGCTATGCTTTGATGTCCCAAGATCCAATCCTCAAGCCCCAATACAATTACTAACATATATATTATCGAAGGAAGTTTAGAAGTCAAACTTCCGACAATATTGACAGATGGAAAAGCAGAGGTAGGAAGAGTCAGAGAGGAGAAGAGCAGAAGAGAGAAGATCAGAGAAGAGAAAGAGTGAGAAGAAAGAAGATGCAGGTGCGCGAAAAGGTAGGAAAGCCGCAAAACACTATGTTTTTCCAATAATTTGTGGCTCCGGAGGGTCGAAAAGTAGGCTCGCTAATGGGTGCGGAGCCATCTGGCCAGATGAGAGACGAAAAGGTGCACGCCGTTGTGGCGCGAAGCACATGTGGACGTTGAGCTGTCCAAAAAGTGCACGCCGTTGTGGCGCGAAGCATGTTTGGAAGTCAAAATGAACAAAACACACCATGTTCGGACCACTTTTCGAAATTGCGATGTTCAAAAAGTGCACGCCGTTGTGGCGCGGAGCACATTCCGAAGTCAAAATGTACAAGACACACCACATTCAGAACACTTTTGGAAGTTGAGGTGTCGAAAAAGCGTACGCCGTTGTGGCGTGAAGCACATACCGAAGTCAAAATGTACAAAACACCTCAGCTCTGAGCACTTCTGGAAGTTCAGATGTCGAAAAAGTGTACGCCGTTGTGGCGCGAAGCGCATTTCGAAGTCAAGAGTGTTAAAAATTGTCGTTCTCGGAACACTTTTGGAAGTTGAGATGTTGAAAAAGTGCATGCCGTTGTGGCGCGAAGAACATTTCCAAGTCAAAATGTTAAAACCACCACATGTTCGGACCACTTTTAAGGTTCAGATGTGGTTTTGCGTGGCAGGCGCAAGGGATTCTGCACCTTGTCAAAAGTGAGCAAAACGTGGGGTTTTGTAGCATTTCCAGAAATGATGGCAGGCGCGGGGCATTTGAAGAGGATCTGCAAAGATGCATTTTCTGTGGCAGGCGCAGTACAAAAGACATGTTCATGAGAGATGTTAGGAGGTCAGGGCGCTGGTTTCCTGAGAGGGGTTGCATTTTGGAGCATCAGATCTGTAGGTTTGCTAAGATGATTACACCTACACTACAATACACTACTCTCTACTCCACTCTACTCCACTCACTACACTACAACTACAACTACACTACATTACACTACACTAATTGTATTACACTACATTACACCACCACAAATGCAACTGCAACTACACGACACTAATTACACTACAGCACAACTACAACCCCACCACACTACAACTACAGCTGCACTACACCACACTACAGCAGTTGTGGGTGAGGTGACCCGACGAGGTGACCACTGCAACCATTGTAACCATTCCAAAAAACACAGCTCCAAGCACCTTTCAGTCCATCAGTGGATTCGCGCTGCCATCCGCGATTCACAACAGCCAAGCTCTCCTATAGGTTTCCTATTCTGAAACTTCCGCCACCGCCTTGTGCGGTACTACTGGTATATATAAGTATTTTCTGAACATTTTCCATGACAAAACCAGGCCTTGGTGGCAGCATTGTAGCCATAGCCGAAGTCCTTGTTACGAACGTTGAAGACCACCTGGAGCGAACTGCCAGACGTTGGGCGAGCTGCCAAGGCATTCCAAAAAAGTAGAATTACAAACCCTTTCAAAGAAATAGATGAAATCAGTGTATCTATACATATATATATATGTATATGTATATGTATACGTATACATACACCTATACTTAAATGCCATCAACCTCCAACAAAAAAGTGCGACATCAAGATCCTATGAAAAACTAAACGGGACGGGCTTTCTCAGACCCTAAAAATGTGGCCATGGCTCCAAAGTGACGTCGCATGCCGTCGGCCAACTGCACCTCGCTGGGGTCCTCTCCGGCGTTCCGCGCAATCTGCCTGATCGGTGCCTCACACTGACTGTGGCTGTGTCGAAAGGAAGGGTGATTTGAAAGGAAAATCTTGTGATGTGATGCTCCGAAAAAAACTATCCACTGAGTCCACTGTATCCTGGAGAGCCTGCATCTTGTACATATTTGAATCAAATTCAATCAAATCATGGAAAAAACATGGAAAAACAGTCCATTCTTCCAAATTGTGCCAAGTCCTGCATCAATTTATAGTCTCGGGCTCCTGCCCCCGAAAGGTGGCACATATTTTGCGTCATTCTTTTAAAACAGGCATTCCTTGAAGCACATCACAACACTGTTGGAACTTGCCCCAAATGTGATATCGCAATATGTCATAGCCATTCACCCATCCCAGCACAAGTACTGAATTTGCGTGGCTTAGCTATGTGCCGATCGTCCTGTGTGTTTCTTTGAAAATAACACGACATCAATGACCTGAAGTGACTTGAAGACCAATTCAGCACCCTTCTTCTCATCTTCCGTGCGCAAATCCTGCAGGCGGATCTACTGATTCGCAGCAACGGCCAGCAGCACCCACAGATCTTCAATAAACACACCTTGGCACTACAGAGTGGGGACGTTTTGTGCGTCAAAAAATTGGAACAACGATGACAGAAGGTCCTTCCCCTGGAACTCACATTCCTTCGGGTAATGCTCTGACCTTTCAGAATCAGCCCTGATGCACAGCAGCAATTGTGTCCTTCTGAATCTTCTCAATAAATTTGTGAGCACCGAGGTAGAGAAGCACGCTGCCACCACCAGGAACGATGCCCATCTCCTGAATATTCCAGGAAAATTGACCTCAACTTGGAATTGCCAAAAGGTGCTATGCCTGCCTTTGGTATCATCTTTGATCTCTTTTTAAAGCGCTGCCGCTAGGGCCTTGTTGAACAGAAAAGTAAGACGGTGAGAGGTGAAAGCAAAGAAGGAACACATTGTAAAAGCCTCCATTAAAACAATCAAACTTGATGCGACTTCACCTTTTAAGGCTACATCATGTCCCTGAATGCTTTGACCAACCCACAGCAAACCAAACCCATGAGGATCATGCTGTGGCATCACTCGCTCCTTGGCACTTCGAACGGCACTGATCGCATCGGTATAGCGAAGCCTCAATGGTGGAAGTTGGGAAATGATTAATGGAATATTTTTTGGTGCTGAACTGCGCATTGGCACGCTTCAGGTCTCAAACATTCAGGATTCCAACCAAGTGGAAAATGATATGTTTTTGCGGTATATCTTGAACCCTCTTTCATATCTTTCATAGGATACCTTGGAGGGTCTTGGACGCTCCTCATATATTATAGGTTTCCTGTGGTTTCCTATGTCTATCAATCCAGGCACCATGAGATTTCTGAAGCACCTGGTTGGAAGAAAATTGGAAAATTAGCTATGGTCCTTCTAGGACCGCATTAAAAAAATAGAAACTCCAAACGCCCTGAGGACAGGCACTTCTTGTCGTTCATTTCTGTCTCGGTGGCACCGCCAACCTGAGGAAGCCACCGCGAACAAATAGAGTCGGCCCCGCTGAGTTGATGGTTCACTTCGAAGCTGCAGTTTCTGCAGTTGCAGGAAATCCATGGAAATCCTATCTGTTTCATTTCTGATTCTGCTTCTGCTTCTGATTCTTCATTCTTCTTTTTTTTAAAACTTGCCATCTGGCGCCTTAATCTTAGCGACGCCGCCACCCAGAGATGCGATACGCTCCTCCAGGGTTGGCTATCTCCATGGGGTGGGCTGTAGCTCCCAAAATGGCTCCCAGCTATGGGGACTGGACCCACGTGAGTCATACAGGTAGAGCCCACACATGGTGGGTGATGGAAGTTTCCAACCGGAACATCTGTTCCAATAAAATACATCAACAAGAAATTATGCCTGTAGGGGTTGACTCTGTTTGTTCAAAAGGTTCACAAGAATATGTCGGTGTCATCGTGTTTGCCGCATAACCGCGCTTTCTCGCATGTTTGTGACGGCTGTTTTCTGATTGAGTTCCTGCATCGGAATCGTTCTCTTTCATCACCCATGGCTCACTCAACCCGCTGCGCAATTTCTTCAAGTCCTGATCTCTACATCCTCTCTGCATCTCTCCACTCGTGCATTTCTCTGCTTCTACTCTTCCCTGTAACTTCTTCTGCAGGCCACTTCTTCTCTACACTCTTACCTTTCTTTGCTTCTTACTTACTCTCCTTCTCTTCTGCTCCACTTCTTCTCTACTCTACGTCTCCTCTGCTCTAGGTTTTCTCCAGTCCATTTCTTCTCTAGTCTATGCTTCCGCTCTTCTCTTTTCATTTCTGTCAACACAAACAACGACCCGCTAGCATGCATGCAATTCCCGTTGGCAAGAGTTGTGAAACAGGACATGGATGGTAGACGCAGCATCTACCTTTCAAGTTGATTGCATGGGCGTGTACGTTGCACAAACAAACAATGTTGAAAGCCGCTCTGAAGCCAGTCTATGTGTACACAACAAACCCAGGTCTCCCTTGACACCGTGCGGGAAAAGCTTCAAATTTGACGGTGACAAGGCAGCTTTGGCTTTAAAAAAGGGCCGTTTGATATTTCCAGGAAACTTTTCATTAAAACCACCAAGGACTTTTGCCGCTGGCATACTTAATTCTGGGGTTTTTCTTCCCCAAAAACATTAACCTGCAATGCGTGCAATTCAAAATCTTGACCCAAACCCAAATGGCACTGTTTCAAGAACTGTGCCGCCAGGTGCTGCCCACATGCCAATTTCCGGGTCTTCGTCTGCCTCAACCTTTTCGGCCCCGTGTCCTGAATCTTCTCCTGGTCATAACTGCTGTCTGTCTCGTCGAGCAATTGCTCCAATTGCTGAATACGCTCCTGGTGAACGGGAAGGTGGGTGAAACACCTTGCCCTGTTTAAACAAACTAAGTTTACTTAAGACACATGACAAAGCTGCAGATTTGGGGTCTTTTCTTGGTAGCTTGGGAGGTGTCACCAGATGGGCAATGTCCAAACCCTTTTGATTGGTTTCTCTACTGGTTTGTTGTGGACATTCCTTCGTCGAGTCCACAGTACATTCAAACCTTGTAGTGTAAGCACGCTCATCAACAAAGCATGAGTCATCTGGCCCCTGCTCAATCGTGTTTCCACCTCAGCAAGAATTTTTACGACAGCCCACTTCCACCCAGTCTTTCACAGCATCACCGTGGGAGCCATCGGTCACCAGCACTGCCTCAAAAAACTGCAGCTTTGGCATAGGCCCAAACCCCTCCTAAACTTCAAACACTTTCCCAACAGGGCTGCAGCAAACCGGGAGTGTCCGATACTTCATGTTCCGGGTAGCGGGTAGCGAATTTCGAATATGTGGAGTGTTGCTGGCGCCCAACTGTGGTGTTGCTGCCCTTCCACCCACCGTGCGCTATGGTCATTCAACATGTCTAGTTGCAGGGCGGAGCCACAACCTCAATAGGCCCATGGATCTAGCTACAGCCTGCAAGTTTGCGGGCCTTTTCCTTCTCCACGACAACCTTTTCACCTTAAGGGCGGACCGAACACAAATCTGATCTTAGCAAGTCTAGACTCCCAGGTCATTTCTCGCGTTTTCACAAATGAAGCATAATTCATGGTGAGATGGTCATGGTGAGATGGTTAGTTCATCGTCATCCAAACCCGCAACAATATTTGCCAGTGAAACCGATCGGGTTTGCTGATGAAATTCGATTCTGTGATGCTGAAACCAAATTGTTCCCTGGCTAAAATTCTCCATTGCTGCCTGTTCTTTTTTTTTTGGTAGGGCTAGACTTGTGTTTCTTGTTAGGAGAATCCTTTGGTTGTCCCAAAAACGTTTCATGGTAAAATCCCACTGTTTCTTTGGTAGTCCTCGATTTTTGCTCCTCAAACGTTTGTGCTTTTTGCCCAAGCGACATGTGCCGAGCTGATCGACAGTGGCATCTGCCAGGGTCATGCCCAATTCTGAGTTGATGAACTCAGCACCTGGCGAAAGGCGCAAGGTGGGTGCCAAAGCCTACCCGGGCCTACCCCAACACTTGGGGTCAACCAACACCTTTTTGTGGAAGGCTTTTGGATACCGGGATACCTTTAATGTCAATGCAGGGTTTTGGCTTTGCAAATTCTGCAGGTTGTTCCTTAAACCACCCTGGTGATTGGCAGCTCCAACCCTTCCCAAAAATATGAGTCACTTGGATTTGGATGGGTTTTTCTTGAGGCGGAAGGTGAAAAATATAAATGCTTCACCCACCAAACCAATTATTTACTTCCAACCAATTAATTCAGGATCTGAAATGGAATTCATCCTTGTGCAGTGATAATGAAGCCTATTCGCCGTAGTTCTAGGACCTTCGCAAATGAAGCAAGCTTCTTACTATTTGAGCCTTGTACGATGTCTATAATTTTGACGGTCGATCTGCCCTAGACCCGACTAGACCCGACTAGACCCCAGAAAAGTTTTCCAAGCGACTTGGTCCTATCTCTTGATATCCCTTGATGACATGCTGAGGATCTTTTCTCACCGTTGTCACTGCTTGATCGATTTCCACAGCAAGTCTCACGCCCACATTGCCGTTGCCTGTGGCCAGAGCAATGTCTTGAAGGATCGCAGTCTTGCGGGCACCAAAGGCAGGCGCCTCCCAGGCCGCACAGATGCGTCATATGATTCATATGGGTCAAGTCATTCTGGTAGGATGCCTGCTGTTTTAACACGTTTTAACATATCAAAATATCTCAAACGATCAATTTTGATCCACTTTTGGGTTGATGCTTTTGAACCAGAGCGAAAACCCAAGACGAAGAAATGTATCGCAGCCAACTCCGACCATTTTCTCAAGCATCCACAAAAATCCATGGGTTGATTAGATCCTGCCTCTGCGCATATTTCAAGTGCAACATCTGTAGCAATGCGCACATGTCACGCATATCACTGATACTATACTCGTAAATATCATATTACATTCAGTTCATCTTTTTCTATCCGTAACAAAAATCTTGGTTGAAAGGAACAATGAATGGAGAACCTCAGGGGCAGCCTTTAAAGTTTTCCAATTCAAAGAACCCACCTCCGATCCCCGCTCTGTGGCTCCTTGATGGCGACCACATCCAAAATGCCCCGCTGCTTGTTCAGGACCAAGGTTTGGAGGGCCTCCACACCCCTGCTTGCAGGTATGACTAGTTAGACTAGTTTATCTACTCCCGTTGAAGAGGTTTCAACCCATGTGTCTTGGGTATGTGAAATTCATCTTGCATATTTGCGGATTTTTTTTTGGGATCCTGAAACAAATCAATTGTGTGAAACCATCCTCCGGAAACGGAGTCCCCCTCAAGCCACTTCTCGCAAAACAGGAACCCAACTTTGTCGGGCAGGTTTGAACAGAAACGCAGCTGGATAATTTGAATTCTTGAGGTCCAAGCATTGGATTTGGGATGTTGGGAACGCGTCAAATTCCCAACTGGACAAAAACCATCCACAGAGTTTGAATGTGCAACTTTGCAAACGATAAAACGAAACCAAAGGGTCAGCACCAATGTCTCGGGCATACGGATACAGATTGTGGGATTCAAGTGGGAGTTCCCTTGACCACTTCGCTTGCCATAGACCTTCAAGTTCCTTGTGTGCCCCAAGACTTGAGGCAGCAATCTTATTTGCATACGTGACTTTATCATTGGCGCACTGCTGCACATCCCAAGTCAAGTCTAGTACGACAAGGCATCTGGGGCAATTTTTATTCGTGCCCTGGCACAATACATAAACAGGCAACACATACTGTCTTGGTATGAATATATTGAAGACACAGTGTCTTCGTGAGTACATATTGTATACATAAGATATCACAAGATGGTGTAAATGGTGTACCGTATCAGTTTCAACCTAAACACAATTGGAGGCGGTTGCGACCAACTCGGCTGAAGCTAGAAGCACACGTGGCAAAATCAGCCATTTCTGTGCTAAACAAAACTTCCGGCACAGTCCACAGTCGCCTCCCCAGTGACATCATCGGCAATGATGAAAATGGGCTGCTTTGTCTTCAACAAATCCTGCTGTGAGAGCCCCTGGTGATGGATTTCATTTTGATCCCACTCCGGAACACGTGGGGCCCTAAATTTCATCCAAGAGCTGAAGCGAATTCTTTGGAATTTCTCCATCAAAATCACCACATCTTGCAATTCAGAATCTCCCTTAAATGGCCAGTCAATGAGTCAATGGTTAGCAGGATTCCGCAGGATATTGAATGTTCCTTGATAGCAAGTTGCCCCCCGTTGTGGTCCAAAGTCCGTCTTCCAGTTCTGAGATGTTCCCAGCCTCAAGTAAGGTCAAAATATCATAGGCGTCAGACAGTTTCTGGTCTGTCACCAGCACACGTGGCCTGGAGAGTGGGCAGAAAAAGCGATGGAATCTCGATTTTAAATTATCAATGTACAAATTATTCAACAGTTTGAATGCACTGCCGTGCTTCAGTTTCATGCAACAAGATGCCAAAAAGGCTGATTTGTTGGTCAAATGACTACAACGAAAGGGGCATGTTAATAGAATATTGTTGTCTGGGATACTGTTGGAAGACAAAATAGATTGAGAATTATGGAAATGCTTTCCCGTACTATTTGAATAGGGGCTCCCTTTCCTATCCATCCATGGGCAACAGTTATGGTACAGCTGATGAACAATTAAAACACAGTACGCACACACACACAATTTCCATACAATCACAAAAACGAGAGCTTTGGGATCCAAGAAATAGAACTGAAAACCACCAGCTGATGGCTGATGGTCTGTTTTACTGTCGATAACCTACGTTAGGCATCATTTTGGAAAGTATTCCAGGAATCTGAGCCCAAAAACATAATTCCTGTTCATAGCAAGAACTCTTTGTCTGGGAGGATAAGGAAGCCTTCACAACCTCCATCATTCGATGAAATTCCGTTTGGTAAATAGAAAATACCATCTTGGATTGTGATAATCCCCCATTTGTTGGAAATTGTAACAGCCCATGACAGTCCATTGATCATCAACCGACAAGGGTTTTGAACACTGCTCAGTTATCTTCTTGCCACCCTTGCCCGTGCCACCCTTGCCACATCTTAGAGCCAAAACACTTCTTGAGCTCCGCAACCAGGCGCTGGGAATCCGTCACAAAGTAAGGAGAAATGTAACCTGTTCAGTGACAAGCTGTTTCTTGGTCACTTAGCAACAAATCCAGGATGACACGGCAGGGTTCGATGATTCGAACGTCACTGACAGTCAACGACTCTCTATCCACCTCAAAATCCATGGATTACGATCGATACGATCGATTTCCAGAAACCGAAATGGCCTACGCTATCCAGGCCCTACCTTGCAGCACTTTTTGGAAAGCCTCGCTGACCCTGCCTCTGTCAAGCGTCAGGCCCTCGCTTACCTCAACCTGTGCACGGCACAACAGAGCGACGAGTGTGCAGCATGAGCCGGTGCATGGGCAAGTGTCATAGCTACCTTGACATTCCCTGACTCTCTAGTCTTAACATGTCTTCACCTGCTTCATTGCACGAATATGACGTCCTTGAAGCTGTGCAATGATATCAGTCTGAGGGACAACAAAAACGTTTTTGTGATCCAATGCTGCATTCTGTTGATGATCTGTTCATCTCAGCACTTGATACGCGACAAAGAACCTCGTCTTCCAAGACCTGTGACTCTTCAATGACCTTAATCGACGTCGACATATTGAGTATCGTGCACCCTTAAATCCACCGGTTATATAATCATCATGATCCCTATTGATTTAGCTTTTTGTTGGGGGTATTCACCATTGGACACAGCCATGAAGTTTAAACGTTTAAACGTTTAAATGCCACGGAAGTGGCATGGATGGCGGTCAAAAAGGTCAAAGTTACCATGGAGACCTGAACTGAGTGTAGCACCACATTGCCGGTGTCGCCCACTCTTTCGAAGGCCTAACCGCTATAGCGATTTGGAAGTCCGGACAAAAATCGACAAGGCCTGAGGCGGATCCTGAGGCTACTCCTGGCTACTCCCGGCTCCCTACTCCGGGACTTCGGGGAACACAAGATCTTGGATGATCTTGGATGATTTGGAACAGCCTTCGTGCTGTCGGAATTTTGTTTGGACTTCTTCCTGTTGTTCCTTAGGGCCTAACGAACCTCAGAATTTTGTGGCTTGCATCTTGGATTTGCTTGAGAGGCCCGGCAAAAGACACACAGCATAAAACTTCCTATCAGATCCCCCAGTGATGGTGGATTACCCTTCGGTAATCAAAGATGGCAATGGAAAAATCACACATTTAGTTTGGGGATTTCCCAACTAGCGACGTTTGATGACAACGCCGGATACACCATTGGGAAGATCAACAGCATTTTTAGTTTTTTGAATGGTCAGCCATTGATTTCTGCTCCCCAAACCAAATCAATATACATGAATCAACATTAACCATCATGAACCGGTATAAAAATGCATGATTTTCATCCAATCAGTTGATTTCATTAATCAAATGAATGATCCAGCCTGAGAGATCATCTGCCCCATCTTCTCGTCGCCACCCACGGACACAGTGGCAATGTCTCGGCAGGAGATATCTATGGAAAATGGATGGTATTCATAGGTTTAAAGCGAACCATCAATAGTGATAAGGTGGGGATATACTGGGATATATGATCAACAAGATATTATGATTCGGGTCTGTCAAAACCCGACATGTATTTCATTATACTGGTTGCTAGGGATTCCCATTATAGATGCTTTTAATCCCCAATATATTGAGCGGTATAGCGGTATAATCCTCTAAACCATGAACCAACAAAGGTTTTGGGCAGTGCTCCTCAATTGTTGCTAGATGTTAGATGGATTTCTCTCAAAATGGGATTACCCTCAAATAACCGCTTGAAAATGGACACTTGCTGATAAACCATGATACACATTGATGAACCATGATAAACATTGATAAACCATCAAATTTTGGGATGTCCTGTTTTCAAACAAAACCAAATGGTTTGAGATTTGGAGGACAACAGCACGGGGTGGTTTCGTTATCAACGTTGAAGGAATCCTGTAAAGCTGAATCTTCTTCAAAACCAGGACGAAGAGCAGGATTCCTCCAGTAAGCAGGACGGTGCCGACAAAATCGACAAGCCACAAGGCACCTGGGGCTACAGGGCACCATCCCCCCGCAGAGCGCCTTTCAAATCGCCACTCTCAACAGGTTTGGCGAGTTTTTCCACCTGACCGTGACCGGCACCCGGTGCTGATCGTGGCTTCACTGTTGAACATCAAGGCACGATTTATTAAGCACGGCGTCCTGTTCTTTCCGGGGGTTATTGAATGCTCGAAAAGAAATCAAACCACCTCTCCAAAACGGGCATCTTTTCACATGAAAGGAACTTCAGAAAGAGGACCGAGAATCAGAGCTGGTCTTTGAGTGGAGATAGGATCGAAATAGCGAATTTACCACAAAAAAGGTGGTCCCATACCCTCCATCAACAGCCTGGCTTACCCTTCCACCATTTAGTTTGATGATTTACCTAAGAATGGTGATTCTCCATGTTAAATTGCCAGAGAGTATGAACCTACCATGAACCTACCATTCACATTTGAGGTAAAGCTTAGCTGACGATCGCCCAACAAATGCATTCCTAGCTTCGAACGCGCCTCAGCGGCAATGAAAGATGAGGCTGCCTGCACGAAATTCGTGGATGGAATCATCAATCTTGGGCCAAAATGGATTCTCAACAAGGATGAAGGAAACAAATAACAGGGAGTAAGAGTATAAATGTATGTACACACCAGCATGCGCAGCATCTACCTAGCAAATGCACTGTATATATATACCTGAGAAGGGGTGGAACGAAAGCCAGCGCTTGCTTTTTGACTCGCGCGGGGGCGCGTGAAACTCCACCTCATCCATATGGCATGGCTCAAACATGAAGCGCCCCAACATCAACAATTGCTATCGGGTCATAATTTTCCAATCATTAAATGGACCTTTTTAGGGTAAACTCCACGATTTTGTAACTTCTATATCCAAATATGTTTCCTACAATGTACTGCGGCATTGTGAAAAGTTCTATCTCAAGTTCCGTAAATCCGCCTTTGGTTGCTCATTTATCTTAAAACAGCGCAAGTTTGCTCCCACCTATTGTAGATAAATAATACCCGCTTTTTTGTGTGAACAGTGGTCATGTGACCTCTCACAGTCTAAATTGTTTTCTCCCCAGAATCGTGGTCCATGCTTCTCCGCGAAGTTCCGCAACATTTTGGCCGTACGGTGAGAAATCAAAACATAGCTCTGCTCGCAAAATGGGCAGTGCAAACCCAAGACAATATTATAACATACGTAAGAAAGGGTATAAGAACGAATGAAAATCGAGGAAAACAATGCAAAACCCACGGGAAATATAGAACAGTGGCGAACATGCAGTCCAAATCAAAAGTATATATATTTAGGCCATTTACAGACCTGGGTACCCCCCCCCACCCCCCAAGGGTCTGGAAAATAGGTATTTTACAGGAAATGTCGCGGAATAGCATCATCCCTGACATCGATAGAGATAATTGTTTGGCATCCCGGAAAATCTTCTCAGCTATCACACTCGCCAAACATCCCTTTCAAAAGGCACACATACTATCACGGACGTACAGATGCATATCATTCCCGTCATTGCCATTAGAAGATTCAAATTCTTTCTCAATGTTTTAGTACAAGATTCACTTTTAGTTCTGTTTCAGCCTTCTCAATACGGCCTCTTACAATGATATTACAGCATTTGTCTCCTAACCTAGGTGGCTCCTGGGCGCAATCTTCATTCCAATGCTTTGTGACAATAACCAGAGGCCTGGAGCCTATGCATCACTTGACAGTCGACTCAGTTCTAAACCGGAAAGACTATTCCTTCCGTTTACCAGTAGATCGTTTTTGTAGTTCTTATCACAAAACTACCAGAATCAGGGAGGCACCAAAAAACGTCAAACAGCTTTAAGCATTATAAATACTCGAGTCTGCAGATTGTATTTATTTTTCTTACTCTGTGAACGAAATCACACTTTTCTAACTTCACACAGATTACCATGAAACCAATTTTCCCATGCAACTCTTAAAACCTTACAACTCATACATCTTTTTTCCTATACCATCCGCATCTTGCTCCAAGGTTTCATGGCAATGTCTTGTACGCGAGTCAGCCACTATTTCCTATCACCAAACTACATTGCTCATCATCTAACATTATCTACAGAAACCAAATCGGATTTCCTGCTCAACGTTTCCGCTCGTTAACATTGTCTTGGTTTTCACTATATTTTAAAAGCATTTTTAGTTATAACATGTTCCTAGGTTTTCACTGTATTTTTCTAACATGTTACATGCCTCCTAGCATGTTCACGCGTGTCCTCCATGTTGTACTGTTTTCTACATCGTTTCCGCTAGTTGTTACAAGCATTTCCTAGCTTGTACACCGTTTTCCTAATATTGTCACAACTTTTCTTCCAGTTTTCACTGCTTTTTCTACCGTTTCCTGTGGTTACTTTCTTCTCTTTTGTAGGTTTTCACTGTGTTTTGTCCAGCTTTATTTATTACATGCTTCCTACCATTTTCACCGCTTTCCTCTATGGTTTTTCGTACCATTTCCTCTCGTTTCCTGCATTTCATGCATTTTCAATATATTTTTCCAAGAGTTTTACCCGTCTCCTTCAGTTTCCGATCGTTTTTGCACCATTTCCTCTGGTTGTTATTGCATTTTCCTGCACTTTCACTGTATTTTTCCAGCATGTTTACTGCATCGTCGTTTGTTCCTAGCAGTCGCTCCGGTTTCCTCCATGTTCCAACAGATTTTGCACCCTTTATTCTGGTTGTTATCACATTTTCCTGCCAGGTTGTTAGCACATTTTCCTTCACTGTATCTTTCCAGCATTTTCCAGTGGATTTTGCACGATTTCCTCTGATTGTTATCATGTTTTCCTGCAGTTTCTATATCCTCTTCGTGGGTTTTCAGTCTATTCATGCATTTTTAATCTATTTTTCCAAGATTTTTACCCGTCTCCTTTTTGCACCATTTCCTCTGGCTTGCTGCATTTTCAATGTATTTGTCCAAGAGTTTTATCCGTCTCCTTGATTTTTCCGATCGTTTTTGCACCATTTCCTCTGGTTGTTATCGCATTTTCCTGCACTTTCACTGTCTTTTTCCAACATGTTTACTGCATCGTCATAGTTTGTTCCTAGCACTCACTCCGGTTTCCTCCATGTTCCAACAGATTTTGCATGGTTTGTTCCTAGCATTTTCCTCTGATCGTTATCATGTTTTCCTCAAGTTTCATTGTATTTTCCAATACATCCTCTTCGTGGGTTTTCAATATGTTTTGTCCAGCATTTTTTTACTACATGCTTCCTATCATTTTCACCTCTTTCCTCCATAGGTGTTTGCACCATTTCCTCTGGTTTCCTGCATTTTCATACCTTTTCAATATTAATATTAATCCAAGAGTTTTACCTGACTCCTTCATTTTCCGATCCTTTTTGCACCCTTTCCTCTCGTTGTTATCACATTTTCCTACACTTTCACTGTATTTTTCCAGCATGTTTACTGCATCGTCATGGTTTGCGCCTAGCATTCGCTCCGGTTTCCTCCATTTTCCAAGGGATTTTCCATGGTTTGTTCCTAGCATTCGCTCCGTTTTCGTCCGCTTTCCAGGGGATTTTGTGCGATTTCCTCTGATCGTTATCATGTTTTCCTGCAGTTTCATTGTATTTTCCAATACATCCTCATGGTCTCTCCGGCCACCAAAAAGGCGGACCTAGGGGGAATCGATACCCCACCGTCAGCAAATTACCTAGTGGTACATAATCCAGCAAAATGCTCCGTTTTCTGGCGCTCAACACAGGGGCACGGCGAGATTTCGTTCCCTTTCGGCAACCACCCCCCCCACACCCCCTATTCTCACTTCGTTCGCAAACAGCAACTAGCCAGCTAGCTGGCTTTCGTAATATATCTATAATATCTATATATGTAAGATATACACATACAACATGAAAAAATCTAGATACACCACATTACACCACTCTATCTACACATATGTATATATGTATAAACATATTATAAACACCATCTAGATCGATGCGAGCCATCCAGCCTTCATGCCCTTCTGCATGAGGACTGGGTTGTAGCCACTGCTGACCAACTGCATACCCTGCGAAACTGCTGTGAGCAGAAACAAAAATACCCTGAAAATGGTAAGAATCGGTTCACAAAGTTCACATCACTGCATAGCTTCATAGCTTCATAGCTGATAGTTATACTGTTATCGACATTCATTCCCCTTTTCACATTAGACATTACTGCATGGATTGATGTAAGGGAAGACTTGCCCAAAACTTTAGTTTTCGTTTACCTCGGAATCATATTAGGGTTTCGCAAAGATTTCGCCTCAAGGCCACTTCTGTGAATCATGGGCGACTGCCCATATCTATGGGTTACAAGCAAACAACCCCCAGATTGCTGGGCCCTATTCTGAACTGGTAGATGGACTCCTAGTGGTTGACATTTATAAAAAGTATATATAACAAGTATATATCACTATAACTATAGCCATAGCCATTGTACCCATAAATTACAGCAGTTACAAACCCAGTTAGAATCTGATTCACTGGCTTGGATAACTGGGGCCATCTCTGGGCGCCTCATTGACCATCTCCTGCGGTGCGGGGCCAAATTTCCAGATCCAGTCTTTTTTTTCTCTGCAAAAAATGAAGGATCTGAAGGATCTGAAGGATCTTGAAGTCTTGCGATTGTCGGAGGCTGCCCGAGCACTTCAGACATGGAATATGTTCAATTGAAAAAGTAGTTGGAAATAAATCTATGCAGGACACATATTTTCACGAACCAGCAGCTGAACGTCAACGCCTGCGTCAGAACCGCAGCACTGGTGGTACCGTCCCCAGCGTTGCTCTCAGACTTGGCAGAGGCCTGAGACGGCGAGACGAGATGAGGACTTGGAGCAACGGAACAGGTGTGGAGGTGCGGCTGGTGACGCTGAATTTCCCAGTGATCTTACCTTTGCACCACATTTACTGATATTCACTACGAAAAAAAATTGAATCAATTAACCACTATCTTACCAGGATTTTGATTTTCTATCTTTTCTCGGGTCGCTCTGTATCTTATGCATATATATGTATACATATACGTATACATATATGTATACGTATATGTATCGGCATATGCATATGTATATTATGTATATCGATATCATACATGCTGCACCCCCAAAAAAACTCTAGTATGTTTGCATCTTCTGGTATTTACAAGGTATTTGTGAATTTGGAGGCTCTGAGAAGTAAAGGAAGCTAGGAACGAACCCTGTTTCCCTGATGGCAAACCACACTTATTTCAAGGAATACTATATCATATTTGAAAGGGATGGATGTGACTTTTCCTTTTCGTGGAGAAAGAACAGCTGCATTTTGTCGAGAGTACCCTTCACTTTTATAAAGGAGACATTGCGAAAATATTGCTTCATTTACTGCAGAGGAATGTGGTTCTTTCTAAAGTGAGTGTGTCCTTCAATCAGTTAAAATAGTGCATAATTAGAATGAACAGTTTTTGGTGTTTTTGTTCAAATAAAAACATTCTTGCTTTTAAACGAGAATAAGGCACGGTTATAAACTAATGCTACATATTTGAAGGAACTATTCCGTTTCAAAAAAAATAACAGCATTTTTGTGAAAGAAACCTTTTCACTTTTTTCACTTTCCAAAGGACATAGTGTACATTTCGCAACAATACTCCTTCCTCAAAGGGACATGCTTGCTTTCTAAAGTGGGTGTATACAGTTTTTTACTGCTGCGTCTGCAAAGGAGCTCACATTTTTTCGAGAAATGCTGCATCTTTAGGAACAATAATGTTGTTTTTCAAACGCAATACTTTTTGGATACTGCCTACTTAAAATAACACGTATTTGATGGGGAAATTGCATGAAGATAAACTCACCACAAAGATTCAAGACTTAGACATGACACTTACTGGATCCATGGTAGATTCAAGACCCGGGATTCAAGAAGTTCTTTCCAAATCCCACATTTTGAATCTTGCATCGAATCTTTAATCCTGGAATTTAAATTAAGACTTGAATCATGGTTAGTGACCCCTACCCACTACACCCCACCCCCACTGGTAGATGCGTACAGAGAGTTGCTATGGCGGCCTGTTTTAATGAACAATGACAAAATCATGTTTTAGCAGCTGCTCTCCTTAATTTCTTCCATTTTCCTTCCACTTTTCATCATTTTCTCTATTATCCTTTCATTTTCATTAAAAAACGGAACACATCTTCAAAACAATCTGTTTTCCCCATTGTCCTATTGTTGTTATATTCAACATTTAGAACACTAGTGACAGAAAAGTAACGCAAATAGCGGCTGATTTGATTTCCAATGTCCTTTGATTTTCCTGCAAAATCAAAGGAAACAACTTTCAACACATTATTTACTTACTATTTTTGAGTCAAAACTAGGGAACAAAAAGGACACCATGGCATTTTAGCACATGATGCCCTCTAATCGCCTTTCATTTTCCTGCCAAAACAATGGAGCGCACTTTCAAAACACTGTCTTGATTTTTGCTATTGGAAAAACACTATTAACAAACTAACAAATCACATGAATTGTAATTTGGTGGCAGTCCCCGGCTCAACAAGTCTTAAGCTTGGAAACTGGGGAAGTCGTTTTTGGGAGGAGTGGTTGCAGCGAATGATTTGATCACAAATGATGTGCAAACAAAACAATCTATGGCTCCATCCCCGACTGAAACATTCTCTCCACAAATATGTGTGCACTTTTTAAAAAATACAAAGATATACCTCTGCATATATATATATATAGACAGATGTGAGATTCCCACCATTTCCCAATACTTTTTGGGTCATCCAGTTGCGAATGTGGTAACCTCCCAATTCTTTCACTGCGCACCTGTGTGAGCAGCTTGACACCCAGGTTCATCTCCTTGTCCTATGGGTCAGGGGGACTGCAATGGGTGACCAGGACGACTTAGTTCCAGTCTGCATTCATTGGACGACAAAAACTAAGGGATGAACTGATTATTTTTTCTTATTACTTATTATTCACTGATTATTTACTTTTTATTTACTCACAAAAAGGCACACTCTCAGTGTTTCTCTCATCATCTCCTTTTGGGGTTAACCTCAAGTGATGTCGTTTCTTTAGCCCCAGGGATTGGATGGGGAACCTGGGGAACCCTTCAGAACCCTTCAGAGAATTGCACCTGGAGGGTGATGGCTCGGGCAATGGTCACACCGTCATTCACAATTTGAGGGACCTCTGCAGGCAACGGCCATCCCCCAGGCCAGGTCATCAAAGAACGGCAAAAACCATTGCATCAAAATCATCAAAGTGATTCAATAAAGGTCTGGATTTTGACAAATCACTGAATTATTGGGAACCACATTCATCACTCTTCCATCCTTCAATGCATTCATATTTTCATAAACCCCAGGCACCTGCAACAAACATGTTCATGCTTAGATTTGCAACCCAACAGCAGCAAGGGTTCCAGGGTGCCGTTCTGTTTTTGGATTTGGAAATAATATATATGTATATATATAGTATGTATATGTATGTCTGTATGTCTCTCTATATCTCTTTATATCTCTATATGTCTCTCTCTCTCTCTATACATATATTTATATATGTATGTGCTGTATAGCCCCTTCAAACGGCAAAACAACTCACCCACTCAACCATTCACCATTTCCATCCATTTCCATCCATTTCCATCCATTTCACCTCCCAAGTTCGCCTGGAACGACTCACGCTGGAGCACCACGTTGCGGCCCTTTGGTCCCAAGGTCACCTTCACGGCGTTTGCGACAGCATTGATACCCCCCTGCAGCCTGGGCGGCAGCTGGAGCGACCAGACTAACCAACAGGCTTTGGGAACAGCTGATCATATTTAGATATATTTAGCATAACAGTTTTTGCCATCCTAAGTTTTCACAATAGGGTCAATAGGGAGGCATTTCTGGTACTTTGACTACTTTGCTGCAAAGCTGCTTTTGTTGTCCTGCTTCTCTAAAGGAGATCTTTTTGGCTGCCTCAGGCGCAACGGGATATGGATGAGCGTACCGCCGTCGAAAACGAAGTAAACGAGCTCAAATTGACACCAAACTCTGATCCAACAGGATCCAACAGGATCCAACTTAGATTTTGACGCAGAGATTCGTTTTCAAAACACATCTGCAACGCGACAGCGCGAGAATCGCTCAAGTTCCCCCTCCTCTCTTGCGATGGCGCCCCTTTCTCCAGCAGTCTGAAACGATGAGCCTTTCACATGACACAGCCCGCTAAGGAGAGATTTCCAGGTGCAGAAACCAGGGTTGTCACATCTCTCACACTGTCTGAACCCACACAGCACTCAATTTGAAGCCAAGGAGTTTATATGGCAAAGAAGTCAAGAGATCTGAAATGATCTGAATATGTAAAACAACTATAACAAATCCCAAACCAGAAAGAGGGTTTAACGGTTTTTGGGATGATGTACAACGAATCCCTCACGGACCCGTCTTGTGTCGGCCAGGCCTACAAAACTGGTCTGCCAGCTAGCTATGGCCTGGGAGGATTCCGATCCCGGCACAACGGCACCTAATATGGGAATGGATCCAACCGATTAAACCCAATTCTATCTGCTGGGATGGATTGTGAACATATGTTCACAGTTGACATTGTCGATGTCCAGCACGCAGCTGACTATTTTGGACCCACTGTTCTGCTTTGCGGGGGAGAAGTACCCAAACAATGGTCCTATCAAAGGTACGTTTTTGATGAAACAACCCAAAATTGGTCCAACTATGTATGTTTCAGGGAAAATCTCAGCACTGCGCAAGAATCTCAGAATTACCAGAAACCAACCAAAATAACGAGATTTCAGGATTTGCGGATGTTTAAAGGTTTTTGTCGGAGCTGGCAGGTTTCTTCGTTTTTTTGCCAATAATTTCAAGCGCTGCACGTGTTTATTCTGTTTGCCTTTTCATCACAAATCCCAAAAACTTGCAGCAACAACCCAAACAAAGTCCTAAGATCGAAAACTAATATTGTATCTAGGTGTTTTGGGTTAAATCGGTCCAAATAAGTCAAGTTCCGGAAACGTCTATATTTTCCTTGTTGGAGTTGTGTGTTCCTATCCTGTGAAAACATCTGAAAACCACTGGATGTAGAAGGGCAGGTGAAAAAAAAACAATGAACTTATGGTGTTCTCCCGGTATTCTCTGGCTTTAAATTTGTGCCCAGGCACCATAGCCATCACCAGCAGAAATTGAGAGCTTCTCCTTCGCTGCATGGCGCCTCAGGCATGGTCCCATGGTCCCTAGCTTCAACATTTTTGCGTATCTCGAAGGGAAAGAGTAATATGAAACGGATATGACCATCCGCTATATGGGGTCTTCTATTGTGGTTTTTAAGACTGTGTGTTTGACCGTGTTTACCGCGGGGTAATCATCCTAGTGAAGACTTCGCGCAACTAACCATATACCAGTAGTACCCGCACGAGTCGGGGCGGAAGTTGCTTTTGGGTTGTACTATAAGACCTTTCTCATCTATAGAACTTGCATGCGCCGTGCGCCAGCCCCACGCGTGCGTGCTTTGTGCGAAGCTGTTGCGGTGCTGTAGTCCAAGAACATGAGCCGCGTGCGACCCCAGCGCAATGCAACTTCAAGCGAATCTTTTCTTCACATTTCACACTTCAACAGCTCCAGAACCGGATCTCGGCGCCAAAGCGACAAAAAGACAAATTTTGAAACACTTCCCAATACTAGTACTACAAATCTTGCACAGAGCTGCGGCACAAAGCAACCTTGATGCAGCCATTACAATGCGATCTCCAGATACTGAATTGCGAAGCACAATAGAACTACGCACAACGGCGTGAGAAATTGCAGCTCAAAAACCGGATGGATCTCGGTGCGAAAGCAAAAAAATACGATTTTAAAGCACTTGCTACAAGGAATTTTAAAGGAAAATCACCAACGCCAAAATTGACAAACAAGTTCTTGACAAGTCACTATCGCAGCCTTGATGCAGCCACTCCAATACGATTGACGACGTTCAGCTGCAAAAGACACTAGTATTCGCATGCAGCCGCGGCACCAAGCAACCTTGACGCAGAATTACAATGCGATCTCAATATTCTGAATAGCGAAACACAATAGAACTACGCGCAACGACGTGAAAAATTGCAGCTCCAAAACTGGATCTCGGCGCCAAAACCAAAAAAAATCACGATTCCGAAGCACTTTCCCCCGAGAGCGTTTGAGCGAAGGGTTCTTCTAAAAGTTGAGGTCTGCTATACATCTTCATATGTTCACATCTTCACATCCTCACATCTTATCATCTTCACAAACTCTTGCATGAAGAAATATTCCATCTTCAAACACCAAGCAGGGGACAGGTGGCTGTCATCCAGGTCTGTCGGAAAGTAGTGCCTACATGTCTTTTCCACAAAGCACTGTGATATTTGAAATGAGGACTCGGGGACCAACAAAACTTGGCCCAGGTGGCATCCCAACTGCTGTGCTGCAGTGGGAAAGCGTACCAGCGCGCCCGTGCTTTGTACTGAACAGGAACTTCACCCCTGAAGCCACACTGGAACCACCGGAGGAATTCGAAGTCTTGTAGCCAAGCTACCACACAGCAAACCCGCGCAGCTCCCACCTTTCCCTACTGAGCCAATGAGCCGCGAAGAACGTGCCAAAGAAGTAGGAAGCCATGGGACCCCCAAAAAAAAGGGGGCCAGGAAAATCATCAAACCATTGCAATTCTAGACCCAGTCTGGGGGGTTCCATCTCAGGGATCCTTTCCTTCACTTTGACATGTTCAGTTTGGGGGACCAAGCCAGTCAAAATGCCCATGAAACCGAACTATCTTTGCACAGCCGGCTGGGGTCACTGGATCCTTACCTGAAAACAGACAAGACTTGGTGAAATGGCCTTTCTGCGGCATGGGCATGGCCAATTTTAGGGGAGCGCTTGGATCAACGATGATCAACGATTCGTAACGATCAACATTTTTGTCTTCGTTTGCCCAGAAAATGCTTGGAGGAAATCGTGCAGGTGTCGCATCCGACTAAACTCTCTTCACGGACGCTGTGCCTACCTGCATCTAATCTCGGCTAAACAGATCGCGACAACGAGGTTCTTACCTCTGCGTATATGAGACGAAGTCAGGCTAAACGGCTGAAAACAAACATGTTGGTAGTGAACATGGCCTTCATCTGCAGCTTGGGGACCATACATCATCATCAGCGTCGTCGTCGTCATCGTCGTCATCATCATCATCATCGTCATCATCGTCATGATCATCATCATACGTACGTATGTATACAATATGATAATAACTACTATATATATATACGTACACATTCATTAGTATATTTATATATTTGAAACTCAAGGACTCATACACACATCTGGTGATCTGCGGGAAGAGTGCAAGGCCCAATCGGCGCACGCTACACTGGCTATGCTAACGCTTTCGCCACCACTGGAGAGGCAAAGGGAATTCATGCTCAACTGTGGTGAAAACAATGGTGCAAAAAGTTTGCACGATCCAGCAATTATCTGGTTGATATTTCCGGGCGTCGAGTGATGTTTCACTCAAAATGTCAAAATATCTGGAAAACACTTGCCACTCCTGGTTTGACGACGCTGCGATATGCTTCGCCAACTGTATCGCCCACTCGACCAGGCCTACCGGGCCTACCAGCTTTGGGTCGGGAATCCTGGGGTCCCACAAAGGGCTCCAACATCACTCAGGGGACGTATGGCACGATGTTCCCACGTGACAGCCACAGCCTAAAGGTTTGAATTTTCCCTGCATAAATATGCGGATGTTCGACCCGCGCTGAAACGATTAGCTGCGGTCACAGGGTGCGAGGTAATCTTGCTGATCTAGCTGCCTCCCCTTGCTGATCTTGCTGACAGGGTGCATGCCCTCGGAAATCTTGTGGAAGCTAGATGGGGGATCGAACCTGGGGATGCAACAAGAGTGAAAACATGTTAATTCTAAGAAGCCTACAGAATCCCACAACATCACACTATGACACTATGATGACACTATGTCTACTGCCCAAATGATGCTTTCAGAATCTTTTTGACTAAGTGTCTGGCCACAGCAACAGCCACGGGAAACCTGACTCAGCCACCAGCGTCCTCAACATTTCCACCGTTCTCACCCGTATGCGTGTAAGGCTGGCTTTCTTATTCTTTGAATGAATTTGCTGAATGTGTGTGGGTGTGTGTCAAGTAACAACTGCAACTAGATTCCGCATCAATGTCGCTAGGGTTTTTGTAGGTTTTTGTGTCTTTCAATCTGGCGGGTATTCCCACAGCGAGAGTATCGGCTTGGGCAGCGGGCAGGTCTGGTTGACCTGGCTGGATGGTGCCCAAAATTTCACACGAAAATACGTTGAATGACATGGCACTAGTGCGGAAGGACGCCATACCATATGATGTGCATGTTTTTGCCTGGTGGAATACCGAATGAACATTTTAGCACTTCTTCTAAAAAGGGGCATTTAAGTGGGAGTATCATTGAACTAAACGGGGATTTTTCTAGTGAGCCATGTTTAATTACCAGAGGGTATCTTCCATTCACCACTGCCTCAGGCTACGTTGTAATGTTAACTCTCCACCCTACCCATGCATCAGGGTCGGGTGTGGCAGATGGGGGGTTGTTTCATAAGACCCATTTCCATTTGTATCCATTGATTTCATTGAGAGGTGGCACTTCCTGAAAACAACCTTTCCACCGAACTTAGTATCACCAAAGGGTCAGGGGTAAAAGCAACATCGTGTAGGCAGATGTAGGCAGACTCGTTTGTTCTCACCAAACGCTGAAAAGCAGCTAAGCACAGGCAACAGAAGAATGAAGCCCAAAACCAGAGGGTAGTTTTTGGGCTGAAATGGTTGGCACATGTTACTAATTTGACGGCCACGTGAATTTAATTGCATGAGACATCATTGAAAATCGTTATTTGGAAGAACATATGGCAGACAAAAATACTATACGTGTTGCAGCGTGTTACAAACATAAGTGCAACATAGCGCATTTTGTGCCCTTGTGTTTGCATTAGTTAGCCAAAGTAGAATGAGGCCTGTCCCGAAAGTATATCCTGCCTGATTTACCTCATTCCCGACCGCTGTCCAGATTTCGTGCTGTCTCCACCACCTGTAGAATCAAGCTGCGCCATGCTACGCCATAAGCAGTGCCGACCCATTCTGTCATTTGCTATCTCGAAACTTCTTGAAACCTATTTTTGGGAGGAAATTTCGATTGCACAGATCCTCAGAGAATCAAACGCCAAGAAGCACACGTAGTTCTATCTTGAACAAAAAACCCAATGCCATAAACTATCCCCAATATTGCCATATTTAGTGGATAACACATACCCGGACATACCCAAATGGTGGGTTTATGGCAGATTTCCGCAACATAGCCACAGGTCACCTCAGCTCACCTCCAAAAGCTCCTGCCCCTTTGAAGCTCGAAGCTTGCGACCGTACTGTCTTAGCGTGTCAATGTGCCTGTCCTCAGTCGCTACGTTTCGTTGGTATTCGTCGATTTGTCTGAAAATACGCTAAGTCTTTTTTAACCAGACTGAATCATAATTTTTCTCCATTAAATGGGTTATTTCGGGGGTATGGCCCATTTTTAAAGAGACCTGTGTTGGTCCAATGGTTCCACCGGGCTTCACCTGGCATTCCCCAAGACTCTGGCGGATGGCTAACCATAGATATCATAAGATATCATGGCCATGGCTATCAGTCCAGAAACACCGACCATTCATGAAGGTGTGACCAGTGATGACCAGTGCAGGTGTGGTCTAATTTTTCCACCCCTACAATCACCTCACCCATGGCACCGTGGCACTGTGACCATGCCACCACGGCTCATGATCATCTCGGTTCGGATTCACAGCGAAACCTAACAGAATGTTGTTGGCCTTTTGAGAACTTGGGAAGCCGACATTCGGATATTTCATTGACTAGTTCATTTGGAATTCCCGTTGGCCAAAATGGTTGCAAAAAACATGTGGCAACCACTTTGCCAGTGGTCCATGCGGTGTGAAAGGATTTGTCATCGCCAGCGCATTGCTCAAGCAATTAGAGTTCCCAATAGAAATTGTCAGGACGTGCGCTCTCCATGGGTTTCTGCAGCTTCCCAAAGTTGCCAAACTCATGTTATTTTCCAAGATGTGCAGACTGGTTCATGTGCGGTTCCCACCAAACGGAAAACCTCATTCCAGGAGTTTCTTTGGACCACCTTCCCAAGTTGAGGTTTAAACCTTGCTGAATGCGCATCACAAGCTATGAGCGCATGCACGTTATTTTGAATTTCACCATAATTGCCACTCTTGTCTGACACTCTATTAAGAACCTTTGGTGCTAGAACTCTTGAAACATTACTGCAAACCACTTTTGCTAAACGTTCTCGTGAAACATTCTTGCAGGACACTCCAGTTGGATTTTCTTTTGAGAAGTTTTTGTGGAATTTTCTTGTGGGAGACTCTTGTTTGACCTCTTTGGAAGACAGGTCTTTGTAGCAGTCCGGAGCATGCACCATGTACTGCACCAAGCAAACTCACATGCCAGAGACGTTAAGCATTTCACTTCTCGCAGCCGTGAAAAGTGTCCCAAACCCTGCCGCGCAAAAACGCCTTTCTAAACCTCGCTACAACGCCTGCGCCTGCAACCAAAACAAGATGCAGCCCACGAACCCGAATGCAGTCACATAAAACACTTCTGTGCAACAAATTGTTTCAACAGTCTTGTGCATTTTTCCGCTGTTACCGTGCCAGTGTCCACTGTGGAGTGTGGGGTGGAGAGTGTGGAGTGGAAAAAAAGTGGAGTGATGAGTTGGGAATGTAGTGTAGGGTATGAAGTGGAGTGTCAAGTGGGGATCGTGGACTGTGAAGTGTCGAGTGTAGAGTGTGAAGTCAAGAGTGTGAAGTGTAAAGTGTAGATTGAAGAATGTAAAGTGTAAGGTGTAGAGTGTGAAGTGCAACTTGAAAAGTGCAGCGTGTGGAGTGTCAAGTGTTCAGTCTAAAGTGTAGAGTTTGAAGTGTAAGGTGCAAACTGTGGAGTCTGGAGTGCCAAGTGTCAAGTGTGGGGTGTGAAGGTTAAAGTGTAGTGTAGAGTGTAAAGTGTAGAGTGCGCAGTGTCAAGTGTAGAGTGTAGAGTGTGAAGTGTAAAGTGTAGAGTGCAGTAAAGTGTACAGTGTAGAGTGCGGGGTGTCAAGTGTAGAGTGTAAAGGATGTAAAGTGTAAAGTGTAAAGCGTACATGTGGAGTGCAAAATGTAGTGTGTAGAGTGTAAAGTGTAAAGTGTGGGGAGCCAAGAGCGAAGTGTGATGCGTAAAGTGAAAAGTGACTAGTGTCAAGTGTACAGGTTAAAGTGTAGAGTGTGAAGTGCAAATAAAGTGTAGAGTGTGGAATGTCAAGTGTAGAGTGTGGACTGTCAAGTGTGAAGTGGGAAGTGCAAAGTGTAGAGTTGGGAGTCTAAAGTGTAGAGTGCGCAGTGTAAAGTGTAAGGTGTAAAGTGTGAAGTGTACAGTGTAGAGTGTAAAGTGTAGATTGCGCAGTGTAAAGTGTATAGTGTAGAGTGCGGGGTGTCACGTGTAAAGTGGGGGTGTAAGGTGTAAAGTGTCAAGTTTGGAGTGTGAGGTGTAGAGTATGACGTGTCATGCGTAAAGTGTAGAGTGTGCAGTGTGAAGTGTAAAGTGTCAAGTGTGGAGTGTAGAGTGCGGGGTATCAAGTGTACAGTGTAAAGAATGTAAAGTGTAATGCGTACAGTGTCGAGTGTGGAGGGTGAAGTGTAAAGTGTAGAGTGGAGTGTGAAGTGTAAGGATGTCAAGTGTAAAGTGTGAAGTGTAGAGTGCGCAGTGTAAAGTGTGAAGTGTAGAGGGTCAAGTTCAAAGTGTGAAGTGTAAAGTTTGAGGTGGGGAGTGTAAAGTGCAGACTGTCTACACTTAAAAGTGTACAGCGTAGAGTGTGGAGTGTACAGTGTGAAGTGTGAAGCATAAAGTGTAGAGTGTAAAGTGTAGAGTGCGCAGTGTCAAGTGTAAGGTGTAGAGTGTGACGTGTAAAATGTAAAGTGTAGAGTGCGGAGTGTGGAGTGTAAAGTGTGAAGCTTACAGTGTAGAGTGTAGAGTGTAAACCGTAGAGTGGCAGGTGAAAAGCGTGAAGGGTAGAACGTCAAGTGTAGAGTGTCAAGTGCGATTGTAAAGTGTAGAGTGTCGAAATACTGCGCCTGCGCCACAAAATGACATTCCACACACGACGGATCTTCACCAAATGATGTGCCTGCCACGCGAAATAATTCCTCACGATGACCCACACGTGTCACGGAATTTGCACGTTGTCACCACTTACCACTTGACTCAGCCCTGACAATGCGATTTGCAAAAGCACGCAACACCACACGTCTAAAGTGCTGCGCCTGCCTTGACACGTCCAAAGTGCTGCGCCTGCCACGAAAAATGAACTTCATTTTTTGAAAACGATGCCAAAGTATTGCGCACGAACTATTTTCTACACCTTTTGAAACCGGTTCGAATATCACAAAGTGACACACCTGCCACGCAAAATGGCATTATCACCTCGTTTGAAACCTTCGAAAATGAGAGGTGTTGCAGCTTCCCACATAGGCACAGCGATGCCACAACAACACCAGAGAATCGAGAGGAAACATGTTGGAAGCTCAAAATGAACATTTTGTGCAAGAATTCCTCAAATTTCCACATTTTGTAGCTACAAAATTTGCGTTTGCCTACGAATTTTCCACACGAACCCCGAAATCAGCTGCCTCAAAATTGATGTTTCGTGCGAGGTTTCCGTCAATTTTCAACACATGTCACAAAATGCGACGGCTGTCATGGAATTTGCAAGCACTTGACGCAGCGCTGAAAATGCGATTCGCAAAAAACACGCAACACAACACGTCTGAAGTGCCGCGCTTGCCACGCAAAATGAGGATGAAGGTCTCCAAAGTCGTGCTGCGCCTGCCACGAAAAATGCAACTCATCTTCTGAAAACGACCCAAAAGTATTGTGCCTGTCGCACATAACGACTTTTGACACCTGATGAAACGTGTTGGAATGCCACAAAGTGCCATGCCTGCCACACGAAATGAGGTTACCTAACGTTTGAAACCTCCAAAAGTGACCACTTTTGCAGCACTCCCCAGAGGCACGGTCATAGCGACCTGACGCGAACGGCAGCGAACGGTTGCGCAACGTCTAGCGAACACACCCTCAACCGCCAAACCACCAGAGTGAAATGGGAACCCTTGCTACGCATTCGAAAAAAAGACACCCGGATACTACACTGTGCTGCTACGCAAGTTGCAGTGAGTCCCTTTTGCGGTAATGCCACTGCAACGTGTGAACAGCGTAGGGAACAGCGGCAACGCGACACGTCTAATATCGGCACGTGCCAAGCAAGATGAACCTGAACCTCTCCCAAGTACTGGGCAGGTAACCAATTGCACCCTGAAACCATCAAACTCCATATGTTTTGCACATTTTCTTCTATCGAAAAGAGCTTCAGTATGACACGTTTTGCAGCTTGAGGATGCTTGCGACTTCCGAGGCAGAGACAACAGCATAACCCTTCGCAAAGCTACAAAATCTTGGGCCCGAAACGGGAAATCAAAAGTTGAGAAACTTGAGGATGAATTTGCCTTTCAGGGACTTGATGTAGTACCATGCATTACCAGTTAGAAGCAGCATGACTCAGACAAACCCAGCACGCTGTGTTCGGCCTTGATCAACTCCACCGTGGAGGTTCCAACTCGATACTCGTTTCTTAAAGCGGCGTCCTGAGGAAAGCAATGGCGGTGTTGGTGAAGGATTGTGAAGGTCATGCCAAGCTGTGGGGCTTGGCAGAGTTCCGGGTGAGCTACGCCCTACACTTACACTTGGCCATCTGTCCAAACAATATTGGTTACTTACCTTCATAAGAGGAAACACCCATTGAAGACTGGAAAAAGAGTAACATGGAAATAAAATCCTCACTCCGGTGAAACCTTACATTAGTTGAAGGCTTTCAAAAAGGTAAGAAAAGGGGGCTCCTTACTTTGACACATGGGAACACATCCGCGCCCCGGTTACACTTTTCATTTGTTGAAGGCTTCTGAAAAGGGGAAGAAAGAGGGAGGCTGCTTATTGTTAACATCCGTCAAGTATGGGAACAAAATCCCTCACTCACCCAGGAACACTTTAATTTTGCACAAAACTTTTGAAAGGGGGAACGACAGGGGACGCTACTTACTTTGCTCTGAACCAGGCCCCAATTCTTGCCATCCTCCAGTGTTCGACCAGAGAGGGGTACTTTCAAAACAGCACGTAAGACAAAGCACTTTGCACCTGGAGCTTTTGTGAATACAATCCAGGTATATAGCGAAGGATAGGAAGCCAAAACTACACACCAACGAAACGATTCATCGGTTGCATTTCCAAGCGACTGACAGCAAGGTCCGATTTGTTAAAGTCACGTTCATGCCTAGGCTAACAATGAAGCAACCCAAATCACAAGAGCAAACCTGATGCCCCTTACTGCATCAAAATGAGCCAAGCCCAAGAGCTTCTGTCATCCCTTTCTACTTGCTTGAGAAGGGTTCCTACCTCGGTTGTCGAATCTCAACCTGTTGGTCAATCCACAGACCTGTCAAGCACTGGAGATCAACCGGGCATTGCTCAAATACATCCGTGTTTTCATAAAGGGCAAGACACTGAGAGGGCAATGGCCGCAAGAGCTTATTCTCGAAGTCTTGGATGATGGCGTCATAGTCATATGGAGCCACTCGCTTTGGTACACTGGACCCGCAACCCATCGGTGGGGACCAATTGTGCCCACGGCACGAACTACTGTGACTAAAATGGCCAAAAGAACAGGTCATACAAACCTATCATGTGGCACGGTGTGGTTAGGAAACTCAATTCGCACCTGGTACCTCCTAGGCGTCCCCCTCTTGTTGGATAGCCATGGCTCTTTAGCTCCCTCCATGTACAACCCGATAGTCAGACACGAAGCGTCCTTTGATATCCTTGTTCACGCCTGAAACAGTGGGCTGCCTAAGAATTGGCCAATCCAAAAGTGTACCGAGTCCTGAGTTCCTACAAAGAGTTTCTGGCCGGTGGTGAAACCACCCCCCTGAAAGAGAGGAAAATGATTGGGGATTGCAGGATGTCATGAAAAAACACCAACCGTGAAACCACCAACCATTTTTTTTGTGACTAACCTGTACGACAAATCAAACATTGGCAGTTGGATGTGGTACCAGGAAGTCCACCGGTTCAAGTGGCATATTGGAGGCTATGCACTGCACCCCCTATGCACAAAAAACCCCATTTTCAGACACCCGTGCTATGCTTGGAACGGGTATTTTGCTTTGCAGGTTTCCTGTAGTCTCTTGGCACGTTACTGCACCAAAGGTCCATTTGGACTGAATGTGACATTGAAAAATGGCACGAAGCAATGCAACAAGAACAGAATTATATAGGGCGCTATCGTGACGCATAGAGAAACAAAGAGAAACACGTACAGACTGCACAGAGCACTGATTTCTTGCAGCGAGTCCATTCAGTGATCGATTATTCGCGGTTGGGGCTGGTGATTCGCGGTGACTTGCCTCTTCGGGATTTTCATTTTGTTGAACAATTATTTTGCGGCGGCATGTTCAATCGTTCAGAATACGCTTCCTGCTTTGCTACTTGATGCGGGCAAAAAAAAGTTGTTTAAAATGCTGAAAACATCTTCGTATTCTTTTGCCACATAACTGCATTTTTACAACTGATCTGTTCATGATTGTCTGTCATTCATTGAATCTCAAAAAGGTAGAACTGGGATCCAGTGGTGGTTTGGCCTTTGTCTCAAGCTTATTCCAGCAACCACAAACATGCCTTTACGAAATGTGAAATCATTGTGAAATCTACTTCACTTCACAATGCTTGGATAGGCAAACTATACATATGTAGACGTATAAATATATATGTATATGCCCATGTATATATATATATGTAAACGTGTATATATGCACCAGGCCCTGCCACCCCCCCCCTCCCCCCCCCATATGGGATGGGTCCCATATACTGGTCCCATATGAGATCTTCCCCCTCCCCCCCTGTGGTGTGGTGGGGGTGTGGCACTGTCCCCCTCCCCCCCTGTGGTGTGGTGGATGGGTCCCATATACTGGTCCCATATGAGATCTTCCCCCTCCCCCCCCTGTGGTGTGGTGGGGGTGTGGCACTGTCCCCCTCCCCCCCCTGTGGTGTGGTGGGGGTGTGGTATGGTATGGTGGGTATGTATGGTGTGTATGGTCGGTCTGGTATGGCATGTTTGGAAAGTATGGTATGTTTGGTATGTATGGTAGGTATGGTATGTATGGCATGAGTGGTTGGTATTGTATGGATGGTAGGTATGGTATGTAAGTCTGTTGGATATGGTATGTTTGATATGACAGTATGTATGGTCTGTATGGTATGTATGGTTACTATGATGGGTATGGAATATGTCCTATCTAAGGTAGGTATGGTATGTATGGCATGTATGCTTGCTATTGTATGTATGCTATTGTATGTATGGTAGGTGTGGTAATTACATTTCATATGTATGGTATGTATGGTATGTATGATAGATATGATAGGTATGGTATGCATGGCATCATTGACATGTATGGTAGGTACGGTATATGTTCAACAGAGGTAGTGTTGTCAGAGTACACAGGTAGTAAACAGGAAGTAGATACAGTAGATACATAGCACATGTATGTATGACTATAGGTAGCACGTAGGTACTTTGAAGGAGTATGTGTGCTACGTAGGTCGCCTAAAAGGTAGCATGTACCTAGTAAATGCGAGGCTGGTAGTCAGAAATGCTGCAAAGACCTAGCAAATACGACGCTGGACCTCAGAAATGCTGCCAATAGCTTGCAAATAGAAGGGAATTGGGGCTACTACCTGGGGACCCAACCCATGGGGGGGGGGGGTGGAGAGACGGAGGACGGGACCAATATATATATATATATATACACACGTATATACATATATACATCTATACATACATGTGTAAATGTGCGTTAAAAACCAACACTACACATCCTAATACATCTCAAAAGACATCAGCCAGCAATACATCATAACTTAGGTTACAAATTTTGGGCAATAACAATCTAACTCGTTCGCCACTCGGTTTGATGAAATATCGGAGGGACCCACAGATTCGGATTTTGCATAGTATTTTTGAGAACCATATCAGAACATATCAAAAGAGGGTGAGCAGTGAAACAAAACTGATTTCTGTTGCAGGGAATCATCCGCTTTCTACATATCTTTCCAAAGTTCAACATTCCAAGTTCCATGCTGCCAGCTGCTGGCACAAAGGCTTGCTTAAGCAATACTAAATAAACAATATGTTTTTCCCTTAAGGTATGCCATCTGTATGCCTAGTGTTCATTCTTTGCTCATTTGGTTTCATATCGGCTGTCATTTTGATGCTCGTTGAGACTTCTAGACTCGGAATGGTGTTCGGTGCCCCGCCTGCTCATTCTGGACTGCTTGCTTGAACATAAACGCTGACAACTCTACTGCTTTACTCAAAGGAGGTTTTGTTAGAAAACACATTCCCCTGCATGTTATGGAGTTTTGGTCATGTTGGCCTAGTCTAGCCGTTTTGACAGAAATCACCCTGTGGTTTGATATTTGCGCCCTACCATCGTAGCTGATGGCTTATGCAGCACTTGGAATCTTTGCGCTGTACACACAGTTTTCTTTTTGTTTCCTATTGGGCACTTTGAACTCATAGAAAACTTCAATAAAGTAATGAAATCTCTCAAGACGAACCATTCGAACCATTTCATACTAGTTCCATCCGTCCAGAACAAGAGTAGGCTTTCTCTCCTGCTGCACACGCGGATCCATGTCTGCGTTGCAGTGAGGTAAAAGGCCCGCTTGCAGCATGCTCCTTGCCAGACTGCCAAAGGACTTGAGCAATCTCCGCTCTCTCCACTTTCTCCACTTGTTAATCTGGTTAATTTTGTGCACCACAGAATGCAGCATGAATTGGATGGGCAATGATCTTGTCAAACAAGTGACGCTGCATCTGTTACTGGAGAAAACTAGAGATGATCCAACAGTTTTTCTTTGTCAGTTCAAGGTTTAAGCCAATACTGAACATGACAAGCAAAACAATGACAGCATGTCTTTTTTCAAACGACACTACCACATTGTCAGCGTGCTGTATGTTCTTGAATATGCGGATATATTGCGGATATCAAGGGGGCGTGTCGATGTCTATAAAAACCCAGCAGCTTTAACGAAGCACAGCGTGAGCCGATGAGCCGCATCACCCATGGCGATCACAGGCGCTGGCAGCACCTGATGCGATACGTTGCGAATGGTGTGACAACTCTGGTTGTGTGCAACGGTGAAATGTCGTTGATATGGCACATTGATATGATATGATGTGATGTCATCCTGATGTCATCGTCCTGGCTCACCGAAATCACACAGACACATTGCTCTCTATCGCTGCCCTCCGCAAAGTGTGCATGGAGACCTTGTGTTTCATGCAAGCCAAACTTGCCAGCCGAAAAACCAGCGCGGTTTATTTTCAGCAAATGCATCCAGAACAGACAGGAATGCTATGGAATGATTCCGTGAATCGCCATCCTAAAGATCCATGATGATTTCATGCTTTCATCATATTCATCATATTTCATTTTTCAAAATCAATGGGAATAATCACCAGCAATCATCAACAAAAACATTCTCAGTTGGCAATCCATGTGCTATCCATATCGTATTGAGCCGTGTTTCCCCGCTCCCTTTTCCACGCGCGATTCCATCGTTGCTGCTCCGGCGTCACCTCGGCCATGGATGGAAATGATGGAACAATTCTTGGAGATTCATAGAGAAAAAGTGAGAATAGTCAATTTAATAAATGATGATAAGAATATATTAATGCCAACCCCGGATGAATAAACCATGGTTTATGAAAATTAGGGGAAGTATTCCCCCAAGAGTCATAATCTGATACTTAAATGGTAGCCTCCCAATTAAACAGCCTAGGGGTTTATTAATCCTTGGTTGACATTAAATGATAAAGATATAAACGGGTATAACAACAAAACATAATCATTCATGTTGTAGCGTTCTAGATCGTTTCTTCCATGTATATTCAAGTTTGTACAAGCTACGTCCCAGCTCTTTTTTTAGGGAGGACATCTTCAATACCTGGGAGGATTAACTTATATGTTAGTTATATTTATATGTATATTCCAGGTGCTCACCAGCTGGCGCAAATTCCACTTGGGCAGCTGCTCCTTCGCATGGAACACTTCCACAATGCTTCCTCTTGGGAGGCGCCAAACCGTTGAACCTCAGGACAGATGATACACATGCTGAGCTGCTGGGATGTTTTGGAAACAAGTTGTATCAAAATGACATGGCCTGAAAAAGAATCAAAGGAAATACAAAGCCAATTGACATTCAATTGACATTCAATTGACATTCAATTGACTCATGTTGACTTGTAAGTCAAGTTTCATGCAAAGACCATTTTACAAAGAACCAGAGGACCATGTTCAACTCAAGAGATCAGTGGAGTCACCTCCTAAGTCAAGCGAATCTATGTGGAAGCATCAAGAATCTGCGGCATCGGCTGCTATTGGCGTCCAATGGGATTGGAGGCAATTCCTTGTCAGCCTTGAAGCATTGAAAACCAACGAAGCGGCAATGGAGTTGAACTGTGCTGAACTGTGCTGAACTGTGCACTTAAGCAATCCCCCAAACCTTAAAAGCCTTAAATATATTTAAATATGATTGATACGGTAAATACGGAGCCCTCTCAAATTTTTCATCTAAATCCATGCCACTGCGACTGGGGCCCACTGGGGGAAGGGATGGACCCTCTCAGTGCCAGGCTGGACTCCTCTTCTGATGCTCAGTCCATGGAAAGGAACGCCGGTTCCTTGGCCGAATGCGACAAAAAACGCGGACGGAAGTCTGCAACAGGACACTGAGAAAAGGAAGCTTGGAAACATCAGAATATCATATAATATCATATAGAGAGATAGACTACTGTACATAAATAAGATAACACAAGAACAAAGATGGTAAGGTAAGAAAAGACAAAATAATAAGATGAGATAGATTAACATCCCATTAACATGGCTGTCTGAAAATGGGGGATTGACTCCCCAAAGAAACATATTTTAAACGAAATGTTGACGTTGAGCTGAGGACTGGAAGATCTCCTCTGAAAGCAACACCTGGCCGTTGACCAAGCCTTCTGGTGAAGCTTCTCAAGGGATTGGATTCCCACAACATATTGAGGTTGTTTACATTTGTTTACCATGAGGAATCTTCATAACCATGCCCATACTGGGGTTTATCAAAATACTTTGATTTAGATTTCTGGTCCCATTTTAAGAAAGCTCCATATCCTGAGGATCATCCAGCACTGAGCGTTCTCCGCCATCGCCATGGGCCTTCGTCTTATCAGAATCTCTCGACATTTGGCCTCCGCTGTCAGCGTACTTCAAAGGATTGATTAAAAGGAAAAAACTGTAGGACGCTGAGGAAACCCCAGGAATTTTAGGAATTTCCAGGTATTTCCGACCAGTCTTCCCATAATTCAAGAACTAGCACAATCTTAGCACAAATGGCACCTCTTCAAAAAAAACCAACTCTTCGCCGAGGACATGAATCGTAACACTGACGAACCATGGCTTTGTCCAAAAGGTAGTGTGCCCCCTCCACCGTTTATCATTAATTTCCGTATGAAATGGCTACAATGGCGGGGTACCAATATTTTCGGACTAAACCATATTAATCATATTTTGGATGCACTCTCGTTCCAGATTTTGAGAACCCAAAACCGCCAAGCTACAAAATGAACACTCGCTAAGAAGCATCTACCAAGCGTGGTATGAAACACTGTAGCAAGCTGTAGCAAGAAACTTTAATGCCAAGTCTGAGAATGCCTTCACTGTCTTGATGCGTGTTGTATCCTTGTTCCGATTCGGAATCTGAAATTAGTCTGTTGGTCTGAAAGCCATTCTTCTCTGCCACAAACCATGGATTCATGGATCATTGATCAATTGATCCACTTGCGCTGCACCTGGATTTACGGATCTCCTTCAAAGCGATGCACGATGGAGCTCTGATGACTGCGTGCCCGGCTGTGTGCCATGTATCAGATCATGGCTATTGCAGCGTGTTACATCGTGTTACATTGATCATTCATGTTAAAACAGTGGTATTGATGTAAAGAGTGCCATGACCATCATGACCAGGTGAAAGAATGGACCTGGAGAATTGTTGTAAGCCAATTTGATCTGCTTGCCAAAAACAGATTTCTTCTGACTTTCTGCATATCAATCTTTGAGCAAATCAGCAGTCACCACTCGTTGCAAATTTCTGCCCAGTTTGCTTCACATGGCCACTCGAAGGTCCAGTTTCACTCAGGCGGACTCCAATCGAGCGAATCGAGCGTATCTCTTTCAGGTGAATCCAAATTCGATGTCTGCATTCTCTTTGAACCAACCCTTTATCCGCTTCGAAACACAAACTCAGTAAAGTCTCGAGCGTTTTTTCGTTTTTTTCCGCAACTTCTTTGGCTAATGTCACACCACGTCTCCAATAGTGGAGACTCTTTGACTGGACAGAACAGTTGGCCAGGACAACTCTCTGAGTTGGGAAAGGTTTGAAGTGGCGCAAAAAAAGCAAGAGCAACTCAGAGCAACCGGGTTCTGTTTGTTTCTTCTGTTTCTAGAGGCACGACATGGCAAAGTCAAGATAAGTCAAGGACACAAAAGGTACATAAATTGATGGAGGGACCACTTCTGGATGCGCCCGCAGCATGCTCAATCATGCTCTACCGCTGTCCTCCTTGTCATCAGCGGTATTCTTCATCATCTTCATCATCTTCATCATCTTCATCATCTTCATCTTCATCCTTGTTACCCTCAACACATGATCAACCTCAACAGTCATCAACATATGATTCTCATTATTTTTCATTGAAATTCTCATGAGAAAATCATTCCTGATCATCACTTATCGTCCTTGGAGTGGGACATTCTGAGACATTGTGGGACATTGTGGGACATTGGAGGTGCACAGGACTGGCCGGGCGTGTTTTGATGCACTTTGTACATCTACAACATGTGATTATTGTTCAAGGATTCAAGGGTCAAAACTAGTGTAAGATGCCAAAATCCACATTAGGCTATTAGGCTATTACAGGCTATTACTGCAAAACAAAACAATTGCCTTCGACTTTTGCAATGTTCCTTTTCACCCATCTCAAACAATGCTAGTCTCGCAGCATTTGCAAATGATTGAACTTGAAGAAATTACGAGCATCTGCAGCTGGATTCACCTGGTTTCACACATCGACATGATCGTTTTGATGGCCTCAGAACAGAACTGGCGTCAACTGTGAATCTTTCGTAGATGCTGGTGCAATATAATCACAATAAGACATGTTGATTTGTGTTGATTTGCACCATGCCGAAGAATCCAATAAATTAAGCAATAGAAAATAAATCAATATAACTCAATGTAAAATCATACAGGCGAACACTTACATTCGCAACCTGTGCTCATAGAATCAAAGGGCTTTCTGGCCAACTCACCAACTCCACCGCATTTTACAGTGGAGGGCAGCTCAACACCAAACCTGTTCGTGGTGTGATTTTTGAAAACAATTCTGACCTATCAAATATATTCCGCCTGAACAAAATAAACATCGATCCATGCTGCGAATAAGTCATCAAAAGGGACAATGATCCCTCCGTTTTGCCTACATTTCTTTCAGATTTCAATGTGACATCTTTGACTTCGGGATACAGGGCGGCGGCCAACACGGTTCTACAGAAATCTCCCAGGTTTGTGAACTGCTCAGTTCCGTCGGGTGAAACGCTTCCAATGCTAGCAGCATTCACCATGATTCACCATGATTCACCTGTCGCCCAGGTCGAGAGCGGTCGAGCTGATGCTTCGGCAAGGTCAAGACTCAGTTGTAAACATTGTATGACTCAGTTGTATCAGCTTCGGAAAAAAAACACAGAAACAAAAAGCGGGCGCCACTGGCCTGGAGGCCTGTCTGGAGGCCTGGGAAAAGATGCACCTCCAGTGCTTCAGTTGAAAGACTGAGGGTTGGGAGGAGAATGCGATTATATATATATACATATATATTTATATTATAATATATATATATATGTATTATAATATATATATATATGATTTATATATATACATTATATATTATATATATGTATGATTTATTGTATGATATATGTAAACAAATAGATATTACACGGATATGAAACAGTACTTATTGATATAATTTGATATACACAATGTATCACCACAATTCATTGTTGGATTTATCCTGAAAGGATTCGCGTTCTCACCTCCCAGCTTGCCGTGAAATTCCGTGCCGTGCCTGCTGGAGACGAAGGACACATTGTGGAACTGGCCTGATCTGAGATCCTGAGATTCTTTGAGATGGAAGAATTTGGATTGCATAAACTCAGAATTTTTTAATTCAAAGCAGCATGTCAACAATGTGTCCAACATTGTCCAACCTAACAAACCAGTATACCTTGCTAAGCCTTGCCGGCTCTGGGGATGTGACCCGTAGATCTTTCCGTGCAGAGTTCCCAGAAGCTTCCTACATCGAAGAGTGGAGCATCAGATGGAACCGGTGCTAATGTTGGCGAACCATCGATGCCATTTCCATTGATGAAGCACTTGACTCACTTGACAAGAAACCATGGTCCTATTTCCAAATGTGGGAAAAACAATGCCATAAACTACCCATTTGGGAATGGTTTATACCACCTATTTATGGTGATTTAGGGGATGGTTTATTATTGTTTTACCCACATTGTAGGGTCTTCCTGAAAAAAACCGTCAAAACAATTCCGCGGACATCTTCATGTCTTGACTGTTCTGGCTGCCACTTTGAGCAGCTCTTTGTACTTTGTTCGTGGTGTTGATCGTCTTGTTCTCTGATACTATTGGTGCATCTTTGCTATGTATGGCATTGGGAGAAGAAATTGTTGGTTTATGTTGGTTGAAGAGAAGTAGCTCAGAGCATCATGGAACATCTATAATTTTCGTTCATTTTCTCAGCTTTTATGATCAAAGGAAGTTTAGGGGGAGAAACTTCCGTGTTACGGACTTTTAGAATGTCAGGGAAAGAGTTAGTCAAAGAAAGAGTTAGCAAAGAAAGAGTTCGTCAGGGAAAGAGTTAGTCAAAGAAAGAGTTAGTCAAAGAAACAGTTTGTCAGGGAAAGAGTTAGTCAAAGAAAGAGTTAGTCAAAGAGTTAGTCACAAGAGTTAGTGAGGGAAAGAGTTAGCAAAGAAACAGTTAGTCAGGGAAAGAGTTAGTCAAAGAAAGAGTTAGTGAGGGAAAGAGTTAGTCAAAGAAAGAGTTAGCAAAGAAAGAGTTAGTCAGGGAAAGAGTTAGTCAAAGAAAGAGTTAGTCAAAGAGTTAGTCAAAGAAACAGTTAGTCAGGGAAAGAGTTAGTCAAAGAAAGAGTTAGTGAGGGAAAGAGTTAGTCAAAGAAAGAGTTAGCAAAGAAACAGTTAGTCAGGGAAAGAGTTAGTCAAAGAAAGAGTTAGTGAGGGAAAGAGTTAGTCACAGAAAGAGTTAGCAAAGAAAGAGTTCGTCAGGGAAAGAGTTAGTCAAAGAAAGAGTTAGTCAAAGAAACAGTTAGTCAGGGAAAGAGTTAGTCAAAGAAAGAGTTAGTGAGGGAAAGAGTTAGTCAAAGAAAGAGTTAGTCAGGATATGTGAGGTAGTCAAAGAAAGAGTTAGCAAAGAAAGAGTTAGTCAAAAGAAAGAGCAAAGAAAGAGTTAGCAAAGAAAGAGTTCGTTAGGGAACGAGTTAGTCAAAGAAATTGTTCCCTCACTGTAAATGGGATTGCAAGTGGTGCTGGTGGAGGAGTTGCCGATGGAGTTTTGAAGGAAGTCTCGCCCGAAATGCGTTTTTGAGAGATAGCAGATGCACGAAAGCCTATGTTTTTCCATACAAAGTCCGTCCCCGAACCTCGATGATCTACCTCTGCGGTGCGACGGGTGCGAGACGGTCTCGTGTGTGGTCGGATCATGCTCGGATCATGCTCGGATCATGTTCGGATCATGGTCGGATCGGTTCCGCATTGTAAATGGGGTTTCAAGTGTTTTTCGTGCATGCGCGGTCGACAGAATTCCATTGTGATTTGCAACTGTAGGATCGTTCCCGCAATGTAAATGGGATTGCAAGTGGTGCTGGTGGATGAGTTGCCGATGGAGTTTTGAAGGAAGTCTCGCACGAAATGCGTTTTTGAGAGATAGCAGATGCACGAAACCCTGTGTTTTTCCATACAAAGTCCGTCCCTGAACGTCGATGATCTACCTCTGCAGTGCGACGGGTGCGAGACGGTCTCGTGTGTGGTCGGATCATTCTCGGATCATTCTCGGATCGGTTCCGCATTGTAAATGGGGTTTCAAGTGTTTTTCGTGCATGTGCGGTCGACAGAATTCCATTGTGATTTGCAACTGTAGGATCGTTCCCGCAATGTAAATGGGATTGCAAGTGGTGCTGGTGGAGGAGTTGCCGATGGAGTTTTGAAGGAAGTCTCGCACGAAATGTGTTTTTGAGAGATAGAAGATGCACGAAACCATGTGTTTTTCTAGACAAAGTGCGTCCCCGAACGTCGATGATCTACCTCTGCGGTGCGACGGGTGCGAGACGGTCTCGTGTGTGGTCGGATCATGCTCGGATCGGTCTCGGATCATGGTCGGATCGGTTCCGTATTGTAAATGGGGTTTCACCTGTGTTTCCTGTGCATGCGGTCGACAGAATTTCATTGTGATTTGCAACTGTAGGATCGTTCCCGCAATGTAAATGGGATTGCAAGTGGTGCTGGTGGATGAGTTGCCGATGGAATTCCATTGTGATTTGCAACTCTAGGATCGTTCCCTCACTGTAAATGGGATTGCAAGTGGTGCTGGTGGAGGAGTTTTGGAGGAAGTCTCGCACGAAATGCGTTTTTGAGAGATAGAAGATGCACGAAACCCTATGTTTTTCCATACAAAGTCCGTC